CAAAGATTTGTGTCATTGGGGCAGTGACGGCCGGCCCTGCGGCGTGAAGGGACTGAGAAGGGATGCTAAGCCTACCCCGGTCATTTTTTTCTAGGAAGAGAACAACATCCTTCCCACTGGGGCGTAGGGGAAGCCCCCCACTCCACCCCAGATGGAAACAGGAGGGGCAGGCCGCTGGAAGCCTCATAACCAAGACTGACCTGGCCGTGGTCTGAAGAGCGAGAGGGTTTAGACCTGCCCTGGGCAGGCCTGCGGAGGCAGCTTGGTGGGGGGTGCGGGGGGACGAGAATGGGGAGCAGCCTGCAGAACTCCCGAAGTGCCCCTCACCCCTACGTTCTTTTCTCCGAGAAAGTGACATTCACCCCCCCCCACCCCCACACCAAGGACCATCCTTACTGTCAGATCTCCTCAATTCCTAGGTTCAGATGGCAGCTTCCTCCTAATCTTTTTAGAATTAAATATAAAATTAAGGCCTATGATCGATCTTAGTTCCCAGTTCTTTTTCCTTTGGGTGCATGGTCCTAGGAAGCCTTTTTCTGTCTGGTCAGGTGGCCCAAACCCATCTGCCTTTTTCAGAAAAATCCCAGTGTCTGGGCAGCTAGGACACACCTTGCAGGCCCTGAAAAAAGAATCTATTCTTCCCTTAAATTCCACCTTCCATGCTAAACGCCAGAGCACAGGAGACTCCAGACCCCTGATTTTGGCCATGAATCCAATGTGAGGGAGCCCAGAATAAATTCCTCCGTAGAGACTATTTGCCAACCAGTCACCACCCAGTCACTCTCCCCAACCAGCTGGAGATTTGAAGGCCCAAAGTTCTTCTCTTGGTTCCCTAGTCGTGTTGGCATGGGGACTGCCACGGCTGGGTGCCCCACCCCAACCAACAGGGGGTCCCCTCATCCCCTCCCCAAACTTCCTCCACAGTAAGTGAAGCACTTCTCTCAGCCGGATGCAGGGACCTCGTTTCTTTTACAAACCCACCCATAAATTTTATAACAGGTAGTTAAAAATTACGACAAGGAAGCACTGGCCCAGCTTTTCACAATGGGCCTCGGGGAGAATGGGACAGCTCTGCGGGCAGTTCACCGGAAATTTTACTTCTAGTCTGTGGCACAACCTGTCTTAGAGTTCGCTTTAACTGGCACGGGGTGACTTTCTCCAGCACACAGCTGCTGGGGCATCTCATTTGGGGAAGCTGAGGCTGGGGAGGCCAATCCACTCTCCCATCCTAGGGTCCCCCAAGGAGCCTTCTAGGGCACTTATTACCTCCCTCATCCTCCCCACCGCCCCAGATCCCCTACAGGCCCGCAATTCCCTTGGCCTCTACAACGAAGTGGGGAGGGAGAGACAATGCCGAGTTTGTTTTTTTTTTTAATCCTGAGAAACGAATTTGCCCCCCAACTTAATAGCTGCATTATCCTGTCTCTACGGTTGAGATTAGAATAATAAATTCAAGGCGAAATGAGCGAGATGCTTCAACTCAGCATTTTGAAAGCCACTATTTTTCACAAATCACAAATAGCTTTCGGAAGCCACTTTGATTGGCTAATAAAAAAGTAAAGAATGGGAGAAAGTCCTAGCTGCTGCAGCCGAATAGTCCCCATTCCGGTAATGGGACGGCGGGAGTATTTGGGAGGACGCGTTTCTAAAGAGAGCGCATCCCCGCTCGCAATTAAGTTCTCCCATAAAACGGGTTTTGCCTCCTTTTCTCTCCAAACGAGAAAACAGAGGCGGTGGGCACCACGGGTGGGGGGGGAGCGGGTGCTGTAAGAGAGGGCGGCTGGAGCTCTCTGGGTTTGGCTCACCCGTTGCTTCGCATCTCAAGCGATGCTGGGCGCCAGACGCACCCCGCCCTCCGACGCCGGTCTTGGGGCCACGGGCATTGCTGCGCACGGCCGGGGTTGAATGGGGCATTGGGTGTGGGGAAAATTCGGTGAGGTTCTTCGAAGCCATTTAGTGTAGGATCAACCGACTCGGCTACTGGGCCAGCGATTCTTTTAATTAATAGCAAGCATAATTCCACATTTCAAAATGAAACGACCCTCGCCGGCCCTCGGAGTCTGGACGCCCGTGGGAAGGCCTGAGGTCGGAGCGAAATGCTCACTATTCGGGCCTCCCCGGCGGGCAGCCGGTGTTTCCCCGCAGCAAACGGGGTTACCTGGCTGGCCCCGCGAATGGCAGCTGGGACCCCAGGTTCCAAAAGATTTCCCCCAGAGCTGTTCAAAGCTGTTCCCGACTGCCCGCAGCCTGCGCTTCCAATGGGTAGCCTCGCTCGGGCCGCAGGAGTCCCCTATTAACGACGCCTGATCCAATCCTGTATTCAAGATCACTTTGCGTGGGAGCCAGGGACTCAGACGTGGGTGAAATTACACAAAACTAGAGTCGACCTGGGTGTAAGTCTGGGAAAATCATTGAACGGGAGAATAGAGACTGAGAGAGTGAAGGGAGTAAGAGAGAGAGAGGTCTGGCCTCAAAAATATTTCAGTCTTTGGGGGTCTGGGTTTTTAAGACCAGAAGATCCCTTCCCCTCCCCTCATCCCATCAGACGATGGCTGAATCAGACGGCTTGAATCTCTGGAATTTGGTATTATTTGACCAGAATCTTACTGGCATAAACAGATTTCTCTGTCTAGGACTCTCCAGGGAGGACCGAAAGACCTCTTGCCCCCTGAGTCCCTTAGCCTTCAACCCTTTATTTTGGGGAGTGGGGAGTCCAATGAAGACTGTCCTTACCCGGCAGTGGCTGGAGTGAGGGACTGTCCACTCAGCGGGTCCACCCCCACCCAAGCCAATGACCTAAATTATAAGGGCAGGGCAGGCTGCCCAATTGCCAAGGTGAAGCTGAGAGGGCTTGAAACAGCCAGAACAGAGGCTGGAGTAAGTGCAAGCGGGCTGGGTGACAGTGATGGCTCTGTGCTTGCTGAATTTGAATTTCAGACTGTGGACTCAGGCTGCTTGCCTTATCAGTCCCTCCACCTTTCCCTTCTCTCCTCTCCCCTAGGCTTAAGCTCCCTTATCCCCCACTCTCAGGCTTCTTCCACCCAAGTCCTCTAGACTGCCTTGAGCCTCACATCCTTCCCACCCTGTTTGCTGCTAGTGCTGGGTGCTGAGTACTAGGGTTGACCATGAGAGGCATATGAGATCAGAAGGAATCACATTGCCTCATCCTTAGCCCCAGCCCCTGGTTGAAAAAGGCCTAGTTGCTGGAGGGGCATGGGGGCGGGGGCCAGATTTTTTATCTGGGCTCAGCCCAGGGCCAGGAGGAAGAAGATGGATGAGTGGAGGAGAAGCTGCTTTCTTCCCATTGGGACCCTGGCATCTACCAACCCACTTTGTTTGGAGCCAATGTTCTCCCAAGGGCATTCTGCTCTTCTTCCTTCTCCTGCTCACCTCCCCACTTTCACCTGCCCTCCCAGCCCAGCCAGCCCTCTCAGGTCCTCCACTTCTCTCCATGTGAGTGCTCCCCAAACCCAAGTCAGATCAGTGGAGGAAACCTTTAGTAGAATATTGCAAAAGGGTAAGGAGGGGAGGGGTAGAAAACAGGGGTACGATGGGGAAAAATCGAGTCAGTTATTACAGCTTCAAATATTTTTTCTCCATTTTTTTAATTATGACTCACGTATACAATACAAAGTACTTGGACCAGAAACAGAGCTGCTGCCGGGACACAAAATCTACATTCATAGCTGGACATAAAGACGAATGACCAAAAATTATTATAGATATATTTTTAACGTTGTTTTTCTTTCGAGCACATTGCATAAACAGAGAATTCAAGACAGTTAACTATACATTCAGTGCAATTTAGTTCTACTCTACTGGGGTTAGAAGCACAATAAAAGCGCACAGGACCGGCGGGCTAGGCAGTCTCAGTTGTTGGGTTTTTCTTAGTGAAATAAGCAGCAACAAACGACAACAAAACCGCATTACAAATACTCTCAAAGCAGGATTTCTTCCTATAGGTAGTGATAAAATACGTTGGAGGTTTCTTTCTTTTTTTTTTATTTTAATTTTTTTCTCTTTTTTTCTCCTGTATTAGGATTTTTTTAAATTTCTCTTTTTTATTTTTTCAAGATTATTGCAGGTTCCCTTTAGGTAGTATGTTAAAGATTTACTATGATTATTATCAGTATTATTATTATTTTCATGATTATGGCAATTTCTGAGCGCTTATACCAGTGCAGCTCAGAGGAAGCTGGGCCCAACAACAGGAATTAGACAGCTGGAGGGGAGGAAGGCATGGGCCCGAGTGACCATGGGATGGCTAGGTAGGATCTGAGCGGCAACTGCAGGCGCCTTTCTACCCCGTGAAAGGGGAGGGGGGAGGGGGAGACCCCATCTCCCTCAGGTTTCCATCAGGTTCCTAGAGAAAGTCAAGGGGGTCTAAGGGGTCCCCACCTCCCTTGGGGTCCCCAGGGAGGGAGAGGGGATATTCCTTGCTATCATTTTTTAAATGTCTTTGAACATCTTCCCTTTCTTTCCCTTCCTTCCTTCACTTTTTCTGTCCTTTGGGAAAAAAAAGTCGATCTAAGACACTAATCCTAGCATGAAAACAAAGCCACGAGTCTTCTTCCGCATTTTGAGGGGGCTCCCCTCTAAAATAAATACCAGAGAAGCAGGGAGGTGGCAGTGTGGCAAGAAGGGGCCGGGAGAAGGGGAAAGGGGGCCAGGTCTCAGACCTTAAAATCCAGGCAAGACTAGGAAGGGTGGGGGTAGGGAGAAGTGTGTGTGTTGGGGCAACGACTGAGACAGAGACTCAGAACTTTTCGCTGTGTCTCAGTCTCCCCCCTCCAGCCCCCAAACAAATAAAGATGGGGGGAAGTCCAAAGGTAATAAAACCAGAGCTGCAAGTATCTGACAGGTAGTTAGAGTTGTGAGTGTCATTCTATTCTCTATAAAAGCAAATGACAGTCGTAAACTTCTCAATTTATCTGCTACCATAAAATGAAACTTCAAGGGAGTTGCTAAAGGAGGGGGGGGGGAATGTCTCTCTTTTTTGCTCAGTCCTTGTTTTCTTCCTTTTCCTCTTCTTCTTTCTCCTCTTCCTCGTTTCCTTCCTCCTCCACCTTCTCCTCATCTCGGGCTCCGGGTAGTTTATCCTTGTTGTTTTCCTTTTTCCACTTCATCCTTCGGTTCTGGAACCAGATCTTCACTTGTCTCTCGGTCAGTCCCAGGGCATGAGAGACTTCAATCCGACGCTTTCGTGTCAAATAAGGATTAAAGAGAAACTCCTTTTCTAGTTCCAAGGTCTGATACCGGCTGTAAGTTTGCCTTCCACTGCGCCGCCCCGGAGCTGGACAGAACAGAAGCCCAGTCTGGTTATGTTTGGGTAGGGGCTTGGCTTTCCCCTGTCACTCTTCCTCCCCTGAAATTCCCCCCTCTGGTTTCCCCAGTTCTCCTCCCTCCTGCGGAAAAGGCAGGGCAGGCAGGGGCAGGAAAGTTTGGGGGGTTTGTTTTGGTTTAGCTTCACCTTGGGAGGTAGGGTGGGGGTGGGGGCAGGGACTAGGATCTGTCTGGAAAGTGGGGGCTGGAAGAGGCCAAGGGAGCGCTGCAGAGTGCCCCCAGGCCTGCAGTTCCAGGAAACTGGCCCTTGCAGCTTTGTTTACAAGTGCAGAGGGGCATTGGGTGAGCAGGGCTGGGGACACAGTCTGTTTCCAAAAGGAAGGCAAAAGGGCTGGGGGTGAAGAAGTGGGGCTCTGCTCACTGCCCCCTCTTCGGATCTCTCTGCCTCATGCCTTGCAAGGAGGAAAAATAATTGATCTCCTGGAATGTATCACTGCTTGGCCTGATTGCTAACTGGAGATCAGCAAATAAATTACGGGCCATCCTCGCTGGAACTTGTCGCTTTCTAGCTTCCCCTTTTACTTCGAAATTGGGCGATGAGGGGCCACCCTTGGAGGGGCTCATGACCTGAGCTGCCCTGAGGGTCTCAGGAAGACATCACAAGCCTTTAATGGGGGGTAGCTTGGTAAGGGTCTTCTGGACCTCAGAGCCCTCTAATGTACATGGCCTCCCTCCTTTTCAGGACTCTTTTTTTCCCCCTCCTCTCTGACTCCCTCTCTTCTCTCCAACTGAAGTAAGTAGAGCAAAGTTGGGGTAGTGGCCCTAAGGCTAGTTCTCTGAGAGGAGGTGGTGGGTACCCCACAGAAGCAGATCACCTGTTTTGGGGGTTCTGCCACCCCCTAACCCAGCCAGGGGAGGGAAGCAGGGGTCTTCATCCCAAGACAGCCTGGCCACTGTCCTGGACTGGGGCTCTCTGCCTTATGGAGAAACTGGCTTGCTCCAAAGGCTGAAAACCTCAGGGTCCCCCGCTCCTTCCCAGCCACCTCCCCAACTTTGACTAGAGATGGTGAGAGAAAGAGACAGGCAGAGAAAGAGGAGGAGAGAGAAAGACAGACAGACTGATAGAGGTGGAGAAAACGTTTTTTTAACCCTTTGCACCCAGATACCACCTTTCCCCCCACTTTTACCCCAATCTCCCAAATCTCCCAGACAAGCCCGGTGCCCCACCCCCAGCTGAACCTCCCAACCTCCAGAAACCCACTCAGGCCCGGGGGTGGGGCCCGAGAGAGCCCCAAGCCAGGAGGGAAAGCGAGGGCAGACAAAAAGGAGGCGAGGGAGGGGGGGAAGACCCCGGAGCGCGGGAGACCAAGGGGGAAAGAGAAAAGGCTTCTCACCGTGGGGTCTCATCCATGGAAACATGAGGCTGGGAGACGAGTTTTGATTTAAGTGGCCTTGTCCTTCGCTACTGTTAGTGTTGGCGGAGGATTTACAGTCGGGATATTGCACCACGCTCGCCTCTTGCTGAGCCCCATAAAGGGACTGTCTGGGGAGCGCCTCGTAGCCATAGAATTTGGAGGCGTCTCCGTGGCAGCTCAGCGAGCACGGGTTCTGCTGGTAGCCCGAGTTGGAGATGCCCGAGGTGCCGTGGTGGAAGAAGTCTTGGACGTGGTGCGAGGCGTGCTGGAAGCCGGGCGCCGAGCCGCCGGGCCCGTACACCAGCGCATGGCTCCGGCCCACGCTCTGCGGGAAGCGGCAGTCGTAATAGGCCGGCTCCAGGGACTCGCCGCCTTTGTACTTGGAGAACAGGGGGTTGACGAAGTAGGAGCTCATGCTGGGCACATGAAAACCCGCCGCCCCCTCCCCTCTGGCTCCCGACTCCCCCGCCCGGGACCCCCGAAACTGCCCTCCCCCCGGGAGCGATCCCCAGGCCGGCCGGCTCCCCGGGGCGGCGGGCCGGGCTGGGCAGGTGGGGGGCGCCTGGGTGCCGGCGGCCGGCGGGGCGGCGCAGCTCCCGGGCTGGGCGCGGGCGGCGGCGGGCAAGCGGGCGGCGGCGGCGGCGGCGGCGGCGGCGGCGGCTCTCTTCACTGTCGGTAGGTAGAGCTCGCGCTCCCGCACTTAGCTCTTTCCTTTAACAGCCCAGGCGAATTCCTCAGACTCCCGGCGGTGGCGGCGCTTACACGCGATTCGCGTTCATCAATCCACGACATGAAGACAGGCGAGAGGGAGAGAGAGAGAGGGAGAGAGAGAGAGGGAGAGAGAGAGAGAGAGAGAGAGAGAGAGAGAGAGAGAGAGAGAAGGAAGGGAGGGATGGCGGGCGGGGGGTAGAGGGGTTCAGGGCTGGGGGGACCTGGAAGAAGGGGAGGGGAGGAAGGGGGAGGGATGGGGGTGTGGTATGTGGGGGGTGGTGGTGAGCCAGCCCCAGCTAATGGCTAGGGCCAGCTTTTCCAAGGTGCGCATTCAGATTTGAAGGTGCCTCTCCTCCCTTCTCTTTTCCTTCCTCTCAGAGAGGTACCTGAGCCAGCAGGTCAACTCAGGTTACCTCAACAGGTATAAGACCCCCGAGGGGACTGAATGCCAACAAGAGAGCAGTCCCCTAACAACCAAAGATGGGCTCCCCAGGGGGTCCTTAAGTCTGGGGACTTTGAGGAGGAAAAGCACATCTTATCCCCAGACGCTTCAGCCATCAGAACCTTCTTGCCCCGATCCAGCTGCCCTGTCCCCCCCAGATTCTTAAGATCCCTTGTCAGCTGGCTGTGGGTAGTGGAGAGGGCCAGAGGGGAGGGCACTCCACATACCCAGTCAGGCCTGCACTGCCCCTTCAGACACCAGCTCATGCCTCAGGCAGGAAGCCCGGGCAATGGCCACGAGCTTGCTGGAGGCTCTGAGAGCAAAGCCGCTGGTAGGAACAGAAGGAGAGGGCAGTTGTGGTTCTCTGGCTTCTGGCTGGGCTGATTCAGGAGGTTGCTTCTTAGGAGACCCCTTGTATCTGGGTTGGAGGAGTCTAAAGCAGGCCTCTTACTTGTCCCCACATACCCTAACCCCATAGGAAATGCCAGTTTGGCCTGGAGGGGCCTCCTGGCTTCACCGCATCTCCCCCACCCCAACTTCCTCAGGCAAGCTGCCCAGGCCAGGATGTGGATGGGAACTGTCAACAGACACTCTTTAAATATTTATCCACACTTCTCTGGGGGGTTTCCCCCATCCCCAAGACTGGGTAAATTCAAGTTAATGCTAATGGATAAAAGACCCTTATCCCATCAGCACCCTTCTCTGGCCATAAACATGTACAGTTACATGGGCTGAACACAGAGAGAAAAGGGAGCAAGAGAGCTGTGGACACATGTGCTCTGTGCAGGTGAATGAAGAAGAAGAATGATTTTTCTGGTCCTCCCCCTCCACAGTATGTGAGGGCAATGCGGGGCCATACTCAGGATCCACGCATACTGTATGTGCTCCCTTCCACCACGAACAACATCAAATGCACACCCACTCGACTATCAGAAAGCACCCCTGACACTTCACAGAGGCTGTGCACACTTGTGTACACCCAGGCATATATGAAAATAAGACCTGATAAACACACATGCATCTTTCGCTCTTTGCATCATAAAAAAAAAAATTGCTACCTATTTTCCTTCCACATCCTGGGGTTTCAGGGTTGGATGAGGAAGGAGGCAGTTAGAAAATCAGATCTTTTTCTTCGCCATCCATCCGGAGCCCAGCTCTAGGGATGAAGGAAGAAATGAAAGCGCAGGGGAGGACGATGCAGAGAGAATGAGTCTCCCCGTTTTGTATCTAAATAATTGCTGGGGAAATAGTCACTCTCAGCCACATTCCCAAAGGAGAACCACTGGGGCCCCAGCAAGAGGTCAGGATACCTTGAATTTGGAAGAATCCACCCCCATCTGAGTAAGGTGGGGACTGCTCCAACTGAGACACCACACCCATAGCTCTGACCCTGGAATCGCACGAGGGGAGGGTCAGAGGGCCGTGCCAGGGCTGCAGGGCAGTGGGGGACATGACAGAGATTTCTTCCACTACCAGAGCACGCTGCAGCCTTGGTTCAGGCTCTGCCTTCTCTGAGCCTGCTCTGCAGGTACTAAGCTGACAGACTCTGGACTCCCAGTTTCTAGGTCACTAGGGACTGTCATAAATACTTTTCCCCTTTCCCTTCTGGAAAGCAGAGGCTGGACGGGCCGTATCCGCTCTGGGGCCTGAGCCTTATCTTTTAGGGGGTGGAGGGATATCTCAACATTTTATGGTCCAGCGAAAACCCTGCCACAGAGCTATCCTTCCGGGCCTTTGTGTCTTGGAATGCAACTGTCCAGAGTGCGCAGATGCCTGCACCGCCTGCTTTGAGAGCCCACCAGTCCCCAAACCCCCGGCTGGACTTGATTTCCTCTTTCGAGGGTCCCTCGCCTTTTCTCTCTTTAGTTCGATTGTTTTTTACATGTATCTGGTTGATTTCGCTCCTGGAGCCTGGAAATAAAGGAACCGCAAGCAGCCATCCTTGCTGGGGCGTCTCCGTCCCTCGGCCCGAGGCCTGCACCGCCCTCCTAGGTATCGTGGATTTATGTTCGTTTGTCCGGGTCATTCTGCCTTTTCGTGTTAATTACGCGCTGCCTGTTTCGTGCTTATCTCCTCCGCAAAGCGATTATTTTCAACGCCCGCCCTTCTGAGCCTCCCGAGTCTGCTGGCAGAGCGAGGGCCCATCTCCTGCCGCCACTCGCGATTTATTTACACCTCGCAGGTGAGAGGATTGATTTGCTCAGAGCCAGAGGGGCCGGGCTGGGCCGGGGCTGCCGGCCTTCTAGTCGCTGCTCCTCGGGGCCGGGCCTCAAATGTCAGTGCGGCCAGGCCGGATGGGGGGGGCACCGCCGCCGCCTCTAACATTGAGCAACAGCGCCACCTCGCGTCCACTTGCTCCAATGCAGTTCGGCCGGGGAAAAGCCAGCAGCTAAGAGCAAGCAGGCCCCCAGGCTTGACCCAAAGGTGGGAGGTGGGAGGAAGGAGTTACCAAATGAAAGCGCCCGAGAGGGGTTCCCGGAAGGGATTCCACCCCCCCCCCCAGGAGCAATGTTCTTTTGTTTTCTAAATCCTCGAAATAAACCTTGTCCAAGGTTTTATACAATTTTCTCTTTTTGTCACCCTCCCTTCCCGCATTGAGACTGTGCAAAAGGAACTGCCGCGATTTCCCCCGCAACCAGGCGCATTTCTGGCCTCGGAACACCGCGCACACAGACGCACGCACCGAAGCTCCCGCAACCGCCTTCCCGTGGCGCTCACCCTAAAATCCTCGCTCCTCTTACCCTGCCGCCGGCTCCATACCGCCTATTCCGCCGCCGCCTGCAGGACGTTGGGGTGGGACTCTGACTTCTCTCGGGTCTTTGCCCCCTGGTTTGTGGCCCATCCCTCTCTCACGCGCGCTCTCTCTCCACCTCTCCCTCCCAGCCAGTGAGGTCCTGTTCTCCGTGGGCCATAGACAAAACATTCCTATAATCCGATTTCAAAGGAAAGAGTGTCCACCTTATTTAAACCATAAAACAATTAAGCCCAGACGTCTAGCCAGCTCCGCGCTGCTGTTTTGTTCGGCCCCATTCAGAATCCAGCGCAGGGAGACAAACAGCGCCATAAAAGTGGCATTTCGGGGCCTCGGAAATGTACCTACCCTCTGCCTTCCCAAGTGGAACAACTTTTAGGGTTTTGTGATTCTGACAAAGGAGAAGAGGAGAGGTGGGAGGGGAGGATTAGGGCAGGGGGGCGTTTGTAAGCCCCTCTTTCGTCCCCAGCTTTCGTTTCTTTCCCCAGATGTGTGTCATGTTGTTGTGGTTTGAGTTCACAAATGACAATAAATAAAAATCGAATCCAATCCTGACCTGCAGGCTGGAGGCTGAGCTGGTACTGAACCGTGGGCTGGACCGCGTGGGGCTGCTCTGGATCCCACGCTCTGGTCAGGGCCCTCCTTCCTGCCCGGAGCCAGACCGGCTCGGGCGGGCCGCAGAAAGCAGGCCGCGCTGACGGACGGACGAGGGGAGGCGACAGGGCCTTGGAGCAGGGGCGGGGTGAAGGCCCGGAAACACCGCCGAGCTCGGGCCGGGAGAGAAGCTTGAGTCCCCGCGGTCAGGACCGAGGGAGATGGGTGGGTGCCTTGTCCTCCGCGCGGGGCGCAACTGAGGCCAGGGTCCCAGAGGAGGAGCGAGGTAGCCAGAAAACTACAGGCAAAGCACCTTTCAAAAGGACCAAGAAAACAATCGCTTCTGGAATTGGGAGGTCTCTTCTTAAGCGGGAAAGAGGAGGGGTGCTTCCGCGACTGGGAAAACCAAACCGCGACTTCTGATTGTCTCCCTCAAAATATTATCAAAAAGAAAACGTTCACCTCTTTCCCACCTTCCTCCAGCCCCTGAAACTGGACTATTTAATAGGAGGAGCGGGTAGGAGATTCAAATGATGGGAAGGGGCTGGTCCTTAAAAGTGCCTCACCAATCCTGTAAGGTGATGCCATGGGGGGAGCTGCTTAGGAATTGGGGTCCCCAATTATTTTCTTTTACGGTGGTATTCCCCAAGTATTCATAGCAACACCCTGCACCCTAGCCAGAATGGGCAGCCTGAGATATTAAAGGGCTATATTTCAAGCAGTCTGAGTTTAATAGTTTCCAGATTGGGGGATTTCCGAGAAAGGGGGCGCTGGGCCGAAGCATACCCGGCAGCTTGAGTCTGCTTCTGATTAGCAGATGAAAACTGCTGGTTTTGGGGAAGGCGCTCCCTCGGGGTGCTAGGCAGTCGACCATCCCCACTGGGCTGTTGTTACACACACATATCCCCCAATCTTTGTCCCTGGGGTCCCACAGCCACCAGAGAACACCCCACTTCTGGCTAACCCCTGGCCAGCTTCCTTTGGCCCTAGCCGCGGGATCTCCTAGAAATACTGCAATTGCTCAGCATGACCACTGTCACCCCCAGATCAACATTCAAACTTCACCCCCAGATCAACATTCAAATTAAGCACCAGAGAGAGAGAGAGGATGAATAGACTAGAGAGAACTAGGAGATGGAGAGAGGAACGGAGAATACACTGAGAAATAGAAACTAAATCTAATCTTGATTGCATTGGTTTTGCCATCTTTCTTCTCTCTCCCTCCTTTCCTTCTTTTTCTTTCTTCCCTCTCTACTCTCTTTCCCTGCTCTTTCTCTGCATCTTCTTTCACTCTCAATGCCCAGTGCCTGTCCAGTTCCCTGAGGCCTGCAATGGCCTTCCTCTTCATTCTTCACCGCACACCCTCTTTAGCAGCCTCCCCCCCACCAAGACACCCCTCAAAGCACCTATGCAGCCAGGCAAGAATCCAGCCCCGGCCTGCACCCAGCACGCAACCTTCATCTTTACCTATCTCTTCCTTCCGATCTCATGTACTCATAAATTATTACAATTAATTACAGCCAAGGAAAACCATTCATGCCGTACCCCCACCCCCAGGGACTCCATCGAGCTACCAGGAGACTCACAGGCAGCCAGCCAGGGCAGGCACAAGCTGCACCCGGGCCTCAGCAGCCTCCACCGCACCCCGGGAGCCTCTTAGGCCCATCACACCCTGCCTGGAGAGAAGTGGCAGGCACTTGCCCTTCTGAAGTAGAGGGAGCCCCTTGCCTGGCTCCCACCTCCCCTAAAGGATCTAAGCACTTGCCTCCTCCACTTCAGAAGCCTGGGAGCGACAAGGAGGAGAAATAATGAGAACTGGATGCAGTTGGGTTTCTGGTTTTTTAAGTGACTTCGATATATTAACACAGAGCTGTTCTACCATAACAAACAGAAGCACGTTACAGGACCGACTCTGAGGATGAGAGGAGACACTGCTATGTACATGCCAGAGGCGCTGGCCTGCGCTGCTGGACCCAGCCTGCGGCACGGTCCCCGGCCCTCGCCTTTTATCTCCTGGGCTGGGAAGCACACTTGTGTATGTTGTGTGTGTGCGTGTGTGTTTTTGTACAAAATCTGCACACGGAGCACCCCAGGCCTGGGGAACGATGGCCCAGACCAAATACAATACATGAAAAAAAATAGAAATATAGCAATTCAAGTACTGGCTTCTCTGAAGAAAGGAGAAAAAAAATCACATTTGTGTGTGTCATTTATTTCAGTTGCGCTGGGAGAAGAGAACGCGGTTTCTCTCCCCGCCTCCTCCTCCTCCTCGCTGGGTAGAACTAACTCTAAAACACCAATTTCTCAACACTGAACCCTCCCAAATCGCAAGAGTTTTCCTTTTCCCCTTCCCTTTTTTTTTTTTTTTTTCCTTTTTAAGCCGATTGGCTTTTCTCTATCTTGCTCTTTCCTTTTTTCTTTCAGTGCTGTCTCCCGCCTGGGCTGGGGTATTTTGTGGGTTTTTTTGTTTTGTTTTTCCCTTGGCTGTGCGAGGCAGCAGGCTGGGGCAGGGTTTAGGATTGCTCCTTGTCGGTTTTCTCTTTATTCATCTTTTTCATCTTCATCCTCCGATTCTGAAACCAGATTTTGACCTGCCGCTCGGTGAGGTTGAGAACCCGGGCCACCTCGTACCGACGGTCCCTGGTTAAATACATATTGAAGAGAAACTCCTTCTCCAGTTCCAGCGTCTGGTACTTGGTGTAGGGGCAGCGCTTCTTCCTCGTGGAACGGGCGTGAATCCAGTTGGCCACGGGGTTGCCTGGAGGGCCAAACACAGGCAGGGGTCAGTGGAGCCCCTTTCCAGCCCAGGACCCCTGCCACCCCATCCCCAGGCTCAGCCAGGCTCCCCAAACCTAATAATTGAACCTGAATTTGGACACGTTTTGCTTTAGGAATTCCCCCTTACTGCTTTTGCGATCTCCCCCCTCCCTATCTTTCCCCTCCTTGGTTTCCAGCACCTAAAACTATAGGAAATCGAAGCTATCAAAGCCTCTACAGTCTGGTCCTCCTCAGCTTCAAGAGTAGTAATTCGAGAATATCCTCATAAAAAGTCCAAATTCCCAACCGTTTCATAGGCCCATAAACGCTTCTCTCTCTTGTTTTTTATTTTTATAGCGAGGTCTCTCTCCTCCCCACTTCCCTCCTCCTCTGCCCCCTCCCACCCTCCCAGCCCACGACCAAGTCCTGAAATTTCAGCAGTTCTGTTTCCTGACCCTGAGAGTCCCCAAGCCTCTCACTACCCTCTCCAGCGCCCCATCTCCGCTCTCTCGGAATTCAACCCTGCTGAGGCGAATTCTCAGGGTGATGCTTGGATGGGAAAAGACTTTCTCCTCTCCCCAGGGAGCTGCTGCTCTTGGGGACAGGCTCCCCTATATCTTAGCTTCCCTCTTTGGCTTCCAGTGCCCCCTCCTCTTGCCAGCCCCAGGACAGGCTCTGCAGGAGCCAAGCCTCCAATTTCAGGTTTATGGGAGTAGCTGAGGGCAAGGAGGGAAGCCTTCAGAGGAGTATAATTAGGCCCTAGCCCCTGATGGGGCTGCAGGATTTCCTGCAGCCCCCTCCTAGGTCTCCCCCAGACATTTCCTCACACCCAGGGGCTGCACCCCCTCCTCCTGCTGTTTCCCCTTCTATCCTCTTTCTGGCCCTGCAGCTCTCACCTGTCCCCCCCCCCAAAAAAAAAACTACCCTTGTCTTTCTCAGCAATACTCAGAAGGCTCCCCTTTCCCTGATTGGAGTGTGAGTGAGTGTGAGTGTGTGTGTGTGTGTGTGTGTGTGTGTGTGTGTGCGCGTGTGTGCAATTCTCTAATCTGGGGAGATGCTTCTCCCCACTCCTCATCCCTGACCCCCATTCCCACCCCTCTCTCCTGCAGACCCTCAGAAGAGGGCTCTCAAGTTTAAAGAGACTGGGGCCCTTCTTCTCTCCCTCAACTCTGGAAGTCCTGATCCCTCCAAGTTCCCAGGCTGGGAAAGCTCTCAGACCTCTCATCCAGGGTTCCTGGGGGAGAAGCCCATGGACCTTCTGTTTTACAAATCTCTAGTGGGGTGAGGACCCACACTGCCTGGGAGGTATGGGTGGCTTTTCTCCTTGGGGTTATTTCCTCTCTATCCCCAGTGTCCTCCTCATCTCTCCCCCATCTCATCCCAAACCATAAAATGAACCTCGCCCCCACCCTATCCCCTGGCCCTGTCTGCATTTCTTCGAAAGTAGTGACTGAGCCAAAAAGCCTGGGCTGGGGGTGTGGGGGCGGGGGTCTCATCAAAGCCAGCTCCTGGGAGAGGAGCCCCCCTCAGCCTTCTCCCAACCTGGCTCCCTGGGCCCCCTTCTCAGACCTTCCTGCCCCTGAAAGCTCCCCAAGGTAATTCGCTTTTATTGAGTCCTCGCCCTCACCCCTCTCCCGCGCTCCCTGCGCCGCTCCGAGGGGCTGTAATCCGCTCCCCCCGCCTGGCCTCCCCTCCCCTCCCGCGCGGGTTGTAAAGGAAAATTGCTCCCAACTTACTGGGGTCCAGGTCGGCCTTCTCCTCTTTGTGCTTGCTGCCGGCGAGGGCGTCCGCCTCGGGCGAGGGCAGGGTCTGCGGGGCGCGGTCGCGCAGCTCCCCGGGCGAGCCGTACATGTAGTCCGGGTAGCTGCGGCCGTCGCCCGGGCCGCAGTCGGCGCGGCGCCCGGGGTAGGCGTCCGGCTTGAGGGCGTAGTGACGGCCCCCGGCCGGGAAGCTGGGGAAGGAGACGGCGCCGGACAGCGGCTCGAGCCAAGTCCGCATGTAGCGCGTGTCGGCGCCGAGGTGGGGCTGGGGGCCGTACGGGTGGTAGACCACGGACGACTGCGAGGGCACAGGCGCCCACGACGTGCTGAACACTGCCGGCTTGGGCGCGAAGCTACAGGACGGAAAATCGCTACAGTCCGGCACCAAACCGCTGGGTCTGGCGGCGGCGGGGTGAGCCCCTGTGGCCGGAAACCTGGACGCTAGGAGGTCTTCATTGTCGTGAGAGATGAGCGAGTCCACGTAATAGTTACTGATGGGCCCCGTCGCCGACATCGTAACAGGGTTTTACATACATAAGATTATTGTATGAACTGTATATGTACTTTTTATCTGCTCACAGAACAATCAAGGCAGGTAATTATTTTTCCAGCCTTTTCCCCGCAGCTCATTGGCTCCCCGGCCCCCACGTGATCGTATTTACCCAAAAATACGGCGCGGATCAATGCGCAGGGGCTTTTTTTCCTGGCTTTTTTTTTTTTTTCCCGTCTCCCACCCCCTTCTCTCTGCTGATCCCCGCGACCTGCGTTTTCCTGGGGGTCCGCAACTCTGGACCCAAGGACCCGCCGCCCCCTCAGGACAACTCGCATCTCAGCACAGAAGCCCCTGCCCGTGTCCACCCATAAGCAGATGGCCTCCGCCCCCACCCCCGGGAGGATTTCTTAATGGGGTGCCAATGCCTGTCCCCGAAGCCAGGGTTCCCGGACCCTCGGGGCTGAGCTGGGCGCTGGAACCCCGCAGGGGCGGAGAGGCCCGAGGTAGGTGGAGGAACTATTTCTTGACGTAATCCGTCTCTGTCGGTCCCGACGCTCCCGCAGTCTCTGCGCGAGCCGAGATCAGCGATTGTCAGTTCGGAACGTGGCTTTTAAAAATGCGTTTTTAAATAGTGTGTATGTATGTATTTCTTTCTGGAGCAGCAGCAGCGAGGGAGGGAGAGTGGGAGGGGACTGGGGAAGCTGGGATGGAGGGAGGGAAGGAGGGAAAGGGGAGCGTCCTTCTGCCACTGGCCAACTCAGCCCCCCAAATCTGGGGTAGGGGAAGCTTGGGGAAGGTGGCCCAAGGGTGGGAGGGGTAGGACCTTGGGACCTGATACACCTCTGTCACCAGAAGTCCTCTCTTTCCTTTGGCACAGATATGCAACCGTCTTTATTTTAAATTTATTGTCTGTATCTTTATCTTTCTTTGCCAGCCTGAAGAAGAGGAGAGATCTACACAACTTCAGTGGGGTGTCCCCGTCCCGTCTTCCTGTTCGCCCTCTTTTGCCCCCAACTCCATCTCTGAGACATCCTATCCTCCCCCCCAAAAAAGAAGTCACTCCGGGGCTCTGTCTGCAGAGAGCCAGGGTGAGAGCGGGCAAGGCGAGAGAGCGACCTCGGTCGTGGGCAAGTAGCTTGTTTTTACGTCCTTCAATAAAATTTTTATGAGGATCATTTGATTGTTCATAAATGTGTCTTTCATTAAATAAAATTGTAGGCTGTTTTTGGAACGAAAAAAAGCTATGGAGGAATGGGAGAAAGCAATTTCTTTGGAGTCAGACAGGAATTCTGGAGGGGGCAGTGTGATGGTAAGGAAGATCACACAACTTGGATTCCTCCCCCCCTCAGTAAGTTGGTTGCTACCCTCCTCCTTGAATTTGGGGTTCATTGCCCAGCCCTCTGCTTTCCATCAGACTGTCCCATGGTGGCTTAGCAAAGGTGGGCAAAGGCAAGCAGGAAATTCTCAGTGTGGGTGCTAGAGAGGGGCAGGGAAGTTGGTGGGGGTGGGGGAGAAGAGCAGGTGATATCCCCAGAGACACAGGCGTCCTAGGCAGGGCAGAGTGAATTTGAAGGAGGGGTGCAATTTCAGGGTCAGCAGGAAATAGTCCAGTTTGTGCCAAGAGAAACAGGCAGGAGCTGAGGCTAAGACACAGGCTCTGAGGCAGCAGGGAAGGACAAGGTTTCTCAGACTAGAGATGCCTGCTCTTCTTTCCCATTCCTGTCCTCAGGAGGGGACCAAACACCAGGGATGGGGGGTGGTGAAAGCTGCTTTTTTCCTGCATCTCTGTCAACCTGTCTCCTCTAGGGAGGAGAAGGGCTAGAGAGAGGTGTTCCAGAGACTGTAGTGTGTGTGTTTGGGAAGGGGGGGTGAGGAAAGTTGAGGGGGAAGGGTCTGTCTGCAGCCTGCAGCACCGACCCCAGCCTGCCAGGCCCCCACCCTAGTCCCTGCTCCTCCCCTTCTCGGTTTCTCTCCTTTTCGGTCTAGCGGGGCTGGGATTTCGACGCAAGGGGGGGACGTGAGAAGTACCCGGCTGGGGAGAGGCGACCCGGGGCCTCAGCCCCTTCACCCTCAGCTCTGATTATCTTCTCCTCCCCCTGACTGGACTGGTTTTGGAAAAGCCAAATTACAGCAAGAAACAGAATATCTCTTTGGCCTTGATGGAGTTGGGTTAGCTGTCAATCAAAAATTCTCCCTCACTAGTTCAAGGAAAAGACTGGAGGTTACCGTCCTCCTGCCTAGGCTTCCTCCAAATCCCCAGCGCCATCAGCACCTCCCCCCAGCCCTGGCGGCAGGGGACCCTGCCTGGTTCTTGGGTGGCTGCTGGCAATGCCGAGCAGAGCCGCGGAGCGTTCAGAGGGCCCAGGGCCAGACTGTGACCAAGAGGACGTCAGGGGACAGAGCCTGAGAGAGACTGAGCCCGAGACAGCCTGAGACAGCAAGACTGAAGCACGGCGCCAGGTCCCCAGAGAGGAAGGGAGGAAGGAAGAAGGGAAGAAAAGAAGAAAACGGATTAGAATAAAAGAAAGGGAAGACAGACAGAAAAGAGGGGAGGCAGGATGAAAAGAGAGGGAAGAGAAGGCATGCAGAGAGAGTCGGAGGAAGGGCAGCGACAGGCAGGCAGGACGGGGCAGGGCGCGGGCTGGCCGAGCAGCCGTGGCATTGTGCAGCCCGCTGGCTGGCCGGGCCTTTGCCGCGGGACCGGCTCTGGGCGCGGCGGCCACTTCTGTCCGGACACAAAGGAGGAAGAGGCCTCCTCTCCTGCCCCTCCCGGGCGACCTGCTGGGGTGGGGACACCAGGCCTCCAGGATATAGAACCCTATCTCGGCCCAGGCAGCTACCCAAGCAGCTGGGAGCTGAGCCACGCTCTCATCAAGGAGCAAAGAAGACAGGACGAAGGAGGTTTCAAGCCCGCCGGCTCCTCCTTTTCATCTTCGCCAGGGGACAGGGCCCATCTGCCCCTACCTCAGTCTTCCTAGAAGGAAGCTGCCCCCAAAGCCCCTCTCCTATGGGCTTCTACTATTTGGGAAAGCCCCCCAGACACAGTGGCTGTAAACAGATGCCCCTTTCTCTCCTACCCAGCTTGGCCACCACCTTCTTTTCCACTCTTGAGCAGCCTGCCCACCCTGCCTGCCCACCCGGCAGAGGCAGCAGTAGTGGGGCAGCCAGGATAACCAGGCCCACGCTCTCTGCTGCCACCAAATTCCCTGTGAAACTGAGGGGGGTTGTCGCCTTCGTTTCAGAGCGTGAACTCAGGCCCTCCCCACTCAGGCATAGACACAACTCTGGATCTGCAAGCAGGCCTCACCCACAGCCCCCTCCCCACCAACACCCCATTTTGCCTGGGCCTTGCTAAGAGAGGCAGCCTGGGGGAGGGGGGCTGGAAGAGGCTGAGAATCCCTGAGTTCACCAGGCCACCAGGCCGAGGTCCCTCGGGTTCCTCAACTACATGTGGACGGTACCCCTATCCTCTGCATTTGGAGGTGGGGTGGCAGGTCAGGGCTCTGAAGCAGACCCTAGGGCTCTCCCCAAATCCAGACCTGGAGGTGTCAGGGCACCAAGGATGTGGGAGCACCAAGAAGGAGGGGCTTGTCTTCCCAGGTTCAGTTATGCCTGCTGAATCTCCTGCCAGGTTCCCAGACTCCCTCTCACCCCCACCACTCCCTTCAGTTTTCCTCATCACCGATGGGGAGCCCGAGGGACTGGAGGCCACTGGGAGTCCCTGTTGGGAGATGGGAGGACTCCAGCTTTAGCTAGCAGCTGTGCATTCACTGTGGCTCTCAGAGCTCTCTTCTGACCCCAAAAGACAGCACTGGGCAGAGGAGAGCCCCCTCAGGGGGAGGAGCACCCTGACTACATCACCTCAGACTTGGACAGCTGGGATCACAATCAAGCTAGCACCACCGTGGGCAGGACAGACAGACAGAAAGACAGGTTAGACTGATCCCCTCCCCTGGCCCTGCACCTCCTCCCTTTTAGTGATTTAAATCCCCTCCGGTTCAATCCACACCGTCAAGTTCGGATTATATTTAAAACAGGCTTTCCCCGTCCCCCAGCGGGTCATTCCCGCAGCCGCAGGCAGGGCGCCCGCTCCCGGCTCGGCAGCACCCGCCTGCGCGGAGGAGGCCCTGCGTGCTCCATTTGCTTTCGTTTTCCTTCTCCCCCTGAAATGGGCTCAGTTCACCTCTCTGCTGCCCTCTCCTCCTCCCCGCCCCCTCCTTGGTTCCCCACTCCTTTCCCCCCTTTTCTCTCCTGATCCCTCTTTGTTGGGAAAAACACACCCACACACACAACTCCTCCTAGCTCAGGCCTGCGCTGGAAGCAGAAACTGAATTCTCCTGGCCCGCCGCGAGGAGACCAGCGTCCTGCCCCCACCCCAGGTGGGTATCCGGGATCCCTACACACCAGGAGTCCAGCCGCTAAGCCCAGCAGGAGTGAAACCCCCAGGGCCTGTGAACGTGGCCCTCTCAACGCCACGGCCTGCATTCCCTCCGGCCCCCTGCCCTGCGCCCCGCAGCAAACGGGGCTATTTCCGCTCCCCCAACCCGATCTGGTTTCCCAGCCTGGGGAGTGGCTGGAGGAGGAGCGGCCCCAGAGCTAGGGGTGCTCTCCGCCTGGAGCCCCCCGTGGTCCTGGGTGCCTGGTTACCTGATCTTTGTGATGTACGTGTGATGTATGTCGCAAGGAAATTTGCAGTGACTTTGGAGCCCAGACTGAGGAAGCAGAGGTGGCGAAAGGAGAGACAATACGGTCCGAAGTACAATTAAGGAGCCAGAGCCGCTAGTCTCTTCCCCCGCCCTCCCTGCCAGACTAGGAGCTGTCTGGCCTCAAACCTCAGGGCAACCCGCGAACCTGGAGCCGGAAACTCAGACCATGGCGGAGGGAACCAGAGGTTCTGGTGTCCAGAAAGCAGGAGGAAAGCGCCCTCCAACTTGGGGGCCCAGCCACCAGCCCCACTGAGTCGCCGAGAATCCAATGAATAAAAGTGCACATTCCGACGAATTTTTCCCGATTTTTTTTTT